CCCAAGATCCCGAGAGGAGAATGGAGGAGAAGGGATTGCGGCGTGACCATCCCCCCTGGGGAGTGATTTCTCGCTTTCTGTCTCTATGTCTCTGTCTGTCTGGCGAGCACATGCACCCCTATAGCAAAAAAAAAAAAAAAAACCTCTCCAAAGTTCCCCCACTTCATGGGTCCAAAATTTGAACACTCATTGTTATAATTGCCAAAGTCATTGTAGCTTCCATCACCTCTAAAATTGCTTCCGCTACCACCACCAAAGCTGCCTCTACCTCTTCCGTTGTTTATAGCTAGCTGTCATAGCTGCCACTCCCACCATAGCCACTGCCCTGGTTTCCATAACTGTCCACCACTTCCATAGCCTCTGCTTCCTCCAGAGTAACCAGGGCTACCTCCTCCATAACCACCATCTTTACCAAATCCATTATAACCATCCCCGCTGCCACCGTATCCACCACCACTATGGCTGCCACCAACGCCACCATGACCACCAAAGTTTCCTCCACAACCAAAGTTGTCATTACCACCAAAACCACCACCTCGACCACCACCAAAGTTTCCCAAACCACTTCAACCTCTTGGGCTAGAGGAAGCACTAGCCACTTCTTGTTTGGACAGGTCTTTCTTCACTTCACAGTTGTGGCCATCCACAGTATGGTATTTCTGAATGACAGTCTTATCTACAGGGTCATGATCATCAAAGCTTATAAAAGCAAAGCCCCTCTTCTTGCCACAGCCTTGGTCAGTCACGATTTCAATCACTTCAATTTTCCCATATTGTTCAAAATAATCTCTTCAGTGATGTTTTTCAGTGTCTTTTTTTAATGCCACCAACAAAGATCTTTTACACAGTTAAGCAGGCACCTGGTCTTTGAGACTCTTCTCTTGAGATGACTCTCTTTAGTTCCAAAACTCTTCCATTCACCTTGTATGACCTTGCATTCAAGGCTGCATCCACCTCCATTGTGGCATACATGAGAAACCCATGCAGTCCATGAGTGTTCCCCATTGTTCAAAATGGCTCCTCAAGCTCTCATCAGTTATTTCAAAGCTCAATCCTCCAATAAAGAGTTTCCACAGCTATTTAGGAGACTCTGACTTAGACATGATGGCAGTGGGAAGAGAGACTTTAACGATGCTTCCCCGGTGGTGTCCACAGGCAGAAAGAGATCTGAGAAATTTTCTAACGTGTTGTAGGAAAAGCTGGAAAAAATGTTCTTTCTCCTTTTTTCATTAAACATTGAGCCACGGGTTTCTAAGGATGGGATTGGTTATACCCTGTCGGTTGAAGACAAGCTGTTAACAGTACCAAGGCAAGAAACAATGAAAAGATTTGTCTTTTTTTTTTTTTTTTTTTTTTTTTGAGATTTTTCCCTTAGGGGGCGGGGGCTCGCC